TCAACGTCGATTACATCAAGCGGCGGTTTTTGGAAGACGCGAGAGAAATAGTGCTCGAACATGTGCGAGACACCGTAGAAAGACACGGTAGTGCAAAAGTGAACACCGCATTCAACGGCGAGTTTGCGACGAAAGATAAACGTGCTAATAAAAGTATAATTTCAAACAGCGAGATATACCGATACGCCGATTTGCGCGAGTGGTACGAGCAGCATATCATCGAACCCACGTTGACATCACTCGAAGAGTTCCAGGAACGCGACAGCGGGTGGGCATTGTCGCGAATCCTCAATTTGGTAGTGAATGTGAACAAACTAAATCCCATGCTCGCGGGATGTTACTTCGAGGTGCCGCAGGAAATAGCGACGAAACGAGCGGTGATCAATATTAGTACGATGGACAATGCGTGCTTCGCGTAGTCGGTGGTCGCCGCTCTGTATCCGGCTGAAAGAAATGTAAATCGAGAGTCATCGTATCCGCATTATACGACGGTGTTGAATCTCGCGGGTATCGAATTTCCGATAACGTTCAAAGACATTTCGAAATTCGAACGGTTAAACGCGGTGTCGATCAATGTATACGGCATCGAGAATAAACAAGTTCTTCCTCTGCGGCTCACCAGTGACAAGAAGGACAAGCATGTCAATCTCCAGTACATACAAAATCCACGCGACGACGGTGTCGGCCACTTTCCGTGGATCAAGAACCTGTCGCGTCTTGTGAGCTCGCAATTAAGCAAAAAAGAGCACAAGAAATATTTATGCGACCAGTAAGTACATATGAAAAAATTATTATATAATAATTTCTCATCTTATTAATAAAATATAGGTGACCGTTATAATTTTTTGTTTTTTTCAGATGCTTGCATTACTTCAGCACGAATGAGAAATTGCAGTCGCACACAATGGGCTGCCAGAAGAGCAACGATTGCGCTATTCGACTGCCGAGCGAGGACGAAAAGTGGCTCGAATTTAGGAACCTCTGCAACAAGGAGCGCGTCCCATTCGTCGTCTACGCCGACTTGGAGTGCGTTTTACGAAAGACGGAACCCGACAGGGAAGATGCGTCGTCGTACGCGTATCAACGGCATGAGCTATTCAGCATAGGCTACTACGTACGTTGCTCGTACGATGACGCGTTATCGTCGTATCACTTCCGTCGCGATAAAGATTGTATAGCGTGGT